GTTGCCCTATTTGACACAATGTCCGTACATTAAATGCTCCAACATGTAGTCTAGAGCGAGGTTTAAGGAGACCAGGAACGACGTTTCGCGAACTCGTATCGTCTGCATTAGCTGTGCACTGTGATGAATGAATGTGAGAAGAGTTAGTCGTGGAGATAAGAGAGGTACTAGGGGGTGTAGGAAGGATTTGATTTTGACCAATTCGGTCTCGCGTGCTGTTATGGGTATGAGGGCGGTTGTCACTTCCCGGCTGCCCACACCGTGGAAGGTTGTTTCTTGAGGAACCTGAAAAGGAAGATAGATTAGTGTTGGTGCGTGACCGCAGAGCTCAAGGGACAACTGCTTGAGGCCAGTCACGCATGGCCTTTTTATCAAATGTTTTTTGAGGATTAGCTCCGTTCTTAAAGGCCCTTAGTGGGCACCCTTACCCAAGGAGACGGAAATCCGTGAGTTAGGGGAGGTGTGACATTTTTAGGGTCGACCTTTTCTAACCCTTCCTTCCTTGTGAGAAGGCAGCATCCCTGCAGATGCTGGTTGTCCGAGGGAAACACTTTACTGCTGTCACACCCCTCTGCAGTCAGCAGTACGACTTCGCCCTCAGACCTTGGGTAGCTGCTTTTAGTCTCATCGTTCTCCAATCGACCTGCCTGGCATGGAAGGACCTGCAGGAACATGTGTTCCAGCCAGTATAGCTCGGTTGGGTCATCACGATAGGCAAGCCCGACCACCACGTCAAGGTAGCAGCTACGGTCGGGAGCGCATATATCAGATAAAGGTGATGAAGAATTCAGAAAGTTACGATTGGAGAGAACACAAAGAATGAATGAACCTGCGCCATTGCAAACGGTTTTGAGCCATGTCATTCGGGGTCTCTATACAAAGGTTATTATCGTCTCGCGGAAAGCAACCAGGTAGTCTACATCTACCAACATGACTCAGTCCACTTGTCAGTGACTTCATGGATTTGTGACATGCTTTGGTTTGGCCACCCTTAGCTTTCTTCCAACCTATTCCTACATAGCTCGAAAAGACAGTCGGTGGTTAGGTATACCTAACATATATCCCAACCACATCAACTGATGAAGTCTCAATTATTCTATTAATCTGTCACCCTTACGTAAGACCTTTTTCCTAACGATAGCACTGCTTACTCGGTTGTCCCAGAATACCCGAGCAATGCTTTTAAGACATCTATGATCGAATACCAGTAACCTACGAATATCTTCTACTCTCACTGGCCATGTTTCACAGCCATAAAGTGAGACGGAGCGAACTACTGAGCAGTACACTTGTTCTTTAGTCAGCAAACGGATATCTCGCCTACGCTATAAGCAACGCAAGTTGGCGAAAGCCAATCAAGCCTTTTATATCCGTGCTGAGATTTCGTCACACACCAGGCGATCAGTACTGATGAGACAAAAGCATGACATAGGAATGACAACTTAACAAAGATTAAAAAAAAACATCCTATACACACACACACACATTCTAAGTATCATTACGCTCACTTACCTATATCCAAAAGGTTATCACCTGGATGTGTTTGATGCCAATTATTCCAATGCTCGTGTTCATTTAACGCCATTTGTTTATCATAAAAACTAACTCGAATACAAGTCTGCAAACAAACAAACAAGATTTGAGAACAATCGATAAGCTTAAAAATAAGGGGTTTCTAAAGGAAATAAACTAATGTAAGCAATGTGAACACTTAAAAATTAACACTACAAAGAAAAATTGTAAACAAACATTGAAATTTTATTGATGAACAAAAAAACAAAAAGATGGAATTTCACTGCTCTAATCGAACTACACAAAATACAAACTAGTTAGAATAATTAACACATATAATAAAAATTTCACACAAAGAATGTAGGATTGTATTTTATTATGTGACATACTAATTATAGGGGGGCGGCCAAACCAAAACATGGCACAAATCCATGAAGTCACTGACAGCTGGATTGAGTAATGTAGGTCGATGCAGACTACCTGGTTGGGATGCGAGAAACCTAATCTCTCCGACTACCGATTAAAAGATATCATACTTCCTCAATAATATCTTCTAATCCTAACCTCTCCGATTACTTCTAATACCCTTACTACCTCTACTACCATTGGATTTGAATTGACAATTACATCTCTGTGCTAATGTGGTATGGCATCATGAACTGATGTACTTACGTACGAAGTTCTACGTTGCATCTGATTGACTGACTGACTGATTACCGCTAATACTGCTACTACCTCTACTAATATGAGATTTGAAGTGACAATCCGATCTGTCTGTGCCAGTGTGCTATGACAACCTGAACTGATGTACTTACGTACAAAGTTCTACGTTGTAACTGACTGACTGACTGACTGACTGACAGTGACGATAGTACAGTTTGATGAATAACTATTGGACTGAATGACAAAAGCAGAGTTTTTATGCAAATAATAACAATGATATTGATCAATTTATGAAGTAATTGCTTGATAAAACCCAAATTATAACTGTGTTTACTAACTAACTGATAGAACAACTATCATATCACTATGTGGGACATGTTTAATTATCCTAATTGTCATTTTTAATGTATTTCGTAAGCTTTAAAATGGAATCTGTCTAGATAACAAATAGATCATCAATGTGAAGAACTTGTAGACTCCAACTAAGATTAACAAAATTTAATAGTAGTTATTTAGATAATGGAGGGAAGCACGGTATACAGTGGACAACTAGGATGCAGCTTGACGATCTAGACTTCGTAGATGATCTGACCCCTCGATCGCACAGGCAACAACAAATGAAAGAGAACACAACTAGTGTAGAGCCACAGTCTCAGCAGCTGCAGGTCTCAACATACATAAAGGGAAAAGCAAGATTCTCCGATACAACACAACAAAACATGCACAAACTCAATCACCCTTGATAGGGAGGACGTAAAAACCTGTACATATCTAGGTAGCCTCATTGATGAGCAAGCTGGATCTGATGCAGATGTGAAGGCGCGGATCGGCAAATCAAGGACAGCATTTCTAAAATTGAAGAACATCCGGAACTCAATAAAACTGCCAACTTACACCAAAGTTAGAATTTTCAACACAAATGTCGAGACAGTTCTACTGTATGGAGCGGAAACTTGTAGAACTACGAAAGCCATCATCCATAAGATACAAGTGTTTATTAATAGTTGTCTAAGCAAAATACTTCGGATTCGTTGGCCAGACACTATCAGCAACAACCTACTGTGGGAGAGAACAAACCAGATTCCAGTGGAGGAGGAAATCAGGAAGAAGAAGAGCCGGAAGAGGATAGAACACACATTGCGGAAAGCACCCAATTGCGTCGCAAGATAAGCCCTCACTTGGAACCCTCAAGGTTAAATGAAAAGAGGAAAGCCAAGTAACACATTACGCCGAGAAATAGAGAAAGACATGAGAAGAATGAACGAAAATTGGACAGAACTGGAAAGGGAATCCCAGGACAGAGTAGGTAGGAAAATACTGGTAGGCGACCTATGCTCCATTGGGGATAACAGGCATAAATAGGTAAGTATTTAGATAATAATTATAAACTAAAACAATCAAGAACTAGAAATCTGGCCATATAAAAGACACTACAAGTCAACATAACATGTTAAATACCAGAACAAACGAGATATTAAGTATCCGCTGCTCATGAGGCTATATTGACAAGTTGGAAATTTAAGGATAAGCCCAAAATAATAGTGACAATGATAAAAGCAGGACCGCAGTCTGACCGATAAGTCACTACTAAACAAACCAGTGAAGTTCTGAAACACTAGTCAGTCAGTCAGCTATATAAAACATAGAAGCTGGCGTGTATCAGTTTGAACTGGCATTGCGAGATTCGCTTGTGCAGAAAATGTCATATGATGTGTGAAATTGACAAAACATTGTAGGGGATGCTGAATACTTCAATACTTCATTGAGTAAATTGATCTTAAACTTCGCATATTGATTAACTAATGTTCGATTAGTTTTTCGCTTCTCAATGTATCATACTTTGTATTGATTATTACATTATGACTAGTATTCAATCGGTCAAATTCACTAATTAAGGATAACTAAATTCATAATATTACTGCATTAACTTGAAGGCAGTTTTATTTTTATTTGGAGTCCCAACAAATACAAAACATTTCTCGATATTCAGTAGATTGATGGCCTTGAAACAACTAATCAGAATTAGGATAACGCCTGATGTATTTTTCAAATTTAAAGCGCAATAATAGATAACGTGTACATTAACTTAGTGAAAATTGATACTGATTTTTAAAAGGCTCTCGTCATATCAGCCTACGCCCCCCACTGACTGCAGTTCAGACGAGGTTAAAGATGAGTTTTACAGAAAGCTTTCGAACCTCCTCCAAAAAGTTAAGCGATCTGATATAGTTATAATGGCTGGTGATTTCAATGCTCAAGTAGGTAGACTAAGTGAAAATAAAAGACACCTAGGTGGATGTTATGGTCTCGCGGCTCAAAGAACAGACAATGGCGACTGTCTGTTGCAACTGTGCTCAGATAACCGCCTATTTCTAGCAAACACTAATTTTAAGCCTAAGGAAAAGCATCTGTTGACCTGGTGACCCCCAAAGTCGTCTAAACGTTGGACCCAACTAGATCACATTGCCATCAGCCACAGATGGAGGGTTTCGATAGAGGACTGTCGCTCGTTGTGGGGTACATGTTTAGATTCAGATCATGCTCTAGTGCGAGCTCGTATTTGTTTGAGGCTTACTGGACGTAGGAAAGACGCCGTAAGGAAGCCTCTTAGGGCTTTACCTAATGATAATCAAGCTAAGAAAATATTTCAGGAGGAACTAGAAAATCGATGTATATAAAAACTGACAAGTATAAGATGGAATGAAATGCCCACTGACAGTTATTATCCAAAAAATATTATTCATTTGTTAAGAAGAACAACATTAAAAGGTGTCTGATTTAAGCGCTTAACAGTCAGTCAGTCAGTTGCAACGTAGAACTTCATACATATGTACATAAGTTCAGGTTGCTATACCACATTAGCACAGAGACGCAAATGTCAAATCAAATACCATAGTGATGGAGATAGTAGAGGTATTAATGGTAATGAAGAAGACTAGGGTTTGAGGATATTATTCAAGAAGTATAATTCAGTGAGATAATGTTAGAAAGACAAAGGTAGAGGTGCTGACGAATCCAGAAGATTAGGATTTGAGAGAGCACAACGAATGGATGCACTTGCGCCATTGCAAACCATTTTGAGACATGTCATTCAAGGTCTCTAACCATTGGTGACTTTCGTCTCGCGGACCCCAGACAGGTAGTCTACATCTATCAACATGATTCAGTCCACTTGTCAGTGACTTCATGGATTTCTGCCATGTTCTGGTCTGGCCGCCTCAAAGCTTCTTTAAACCTACTCTAAACCTACTCCTAAAACTCCTAAACCAACTCCTAAACAACAGCGGTCGGTGGTTAGGCATTCGTAATGCATGTCCCAACCACCTCAACTGATGAAGTTTCACCACTTCATTTATTGATCTGCCATCCTTACCTAGTATTCGTTTCCTAATGGCAGCATTGCTTACTCGGTTGTCCCAGGATACACGAGCAATGCTTCTAAGACATCTATGATCGAATACTAGTAACCTACGAACATCTTCTACTTTTAAGGGCCATGTTCCAAAGCGCTTAACATGTAAACATTTACTGATTACATTTACTTCGATACATATATATATATATATATATATATATATATATATATATATTTATATGTCAACAACGGGAAACGTATAGATAAACACTATAACCCTAACCCAATAACGAACACAAGCTAAAATTAGTTTCAAAACAATATAAAATAAAACAAGACATAACAAATTACCTTGATAAATGTAATCTCTGGTGTTTTCGAATTTAATCTCAATTCATACGTTTGTCCTGTAAATCATCATCAACAAACATATATATAGATGGGTCATTAGATAAACAATGACAAAATAAAATGAATGAAGAAAAGTTTCTAGTTCAAATGGATAATTTTGGTAGTGTTAAGTTCTACAAGTTAGATAGTCTACATGACGTACACATATATTATGTCTAATGACTTACACATTTTTGAAACCATGAATCGATCAATGTTAGACCATCATTAGAAACCTGGAGGCACTGAACGGCCGTTTCGTCCTGGGATGGGACTCCTCAGCAGTGCGCATCCACGACTCCTGCACCCCGCAGGATTCGAACCCAGGACCTTCGGTATTGTGCGCGAACACCTAACCATCGAACCACTGGGCCAGCATCCAACAGTGTTAATGTCTAACTTGATCAAATTCACGGAGTTGCGCAACCTCGTGGATGCGCACTGATGAGTCCCACACCAGGACGAAACGGCCGTCCAGTACTTCCAGGTTTCTAATGGTGGTATGACATTGATCGATTCATGGTTTCAAAAATGTGTAACTTAACAATCTTCACAACCCCGTAATACTAAGACTTATTCTACATTCTTTAATGACTGATTATCTCTGAAATATAAAACTACTGAAAGTTCTAGTCAAATATCAATGAGTGAGTCAACAGTGAAGAGGTTATATTACAATGAAGATTGAAGGAATAGTAAATCTCGCAGCTAACTTATACGTAACTCAGTGTTCCAGAGTTTAGGCGTTCGTGCGGAAGACCGAATGTCCTGGGTTCGAACCCTGTGAGTTGCAGGAGTCGTGGACACGCAATGCTGATAGGTTCCGAACCAGGACGAAACGGCCATCCAGTGCTTTCAGGATTCTAATGGTAGTAGTCTAACACTGATCTATCCATGATTTCGATAAAGTACCTCAACAATCTCCACAACCCTTTCATGTACATCATATATATATATATATATATATATATATATCATTTATTATGACCTTTCAGTTGACCTATTGATCACTGTTCAACAATTTATTACACTCAATCTGTTATCAATTTTTTATTTGCAGTTTTCCCTTATCCATAGACATTTTTAGCTTGTTCATACATAACTGCTATTATTATTATTGATTTTATGGTGTGATATGGTCTGATCTGCTAGTATATGAACTATGCTTAGTAATAATGTACTGACAAATAAATTGTAACAACTTAAAGTGATAACTACTTGTATTAAGAACCATAGTCTTCAGATATGTTTTCAGTCCTCATATATCTGTGCTTAATAATTATGAAACTTGCTATAAAAACAATGAAGAAAGAATGTCTTCATTTCGACGAATAATATCCTAATTGAAAGCATGAATCAATCATTGTTACAGCACCATTAGAAACTAGGGAGCACTAGACGGCCGTTTCGTCCTGGCACAGGACTCATCAACAGTGTGCATCCACAACTCCTGCTACTCGCAGGATTCGAACCCAGGATCTTCGACCTAACTTTCGGATCACTGAGCCAGTATCCGACAGTGTGCTTTCAGGTTCCTAATGGAAGTCTACCAATGACTTACTCATCATTACAATGTGTATAAACAACCATCTCCATAATACTACTATACTGAATAACATCGTAATTATTCCCTTACTGTGCCCTTCCCACGGGTAGAAATAATCTGACTTATTCAAACAGTAAAGTCAAAAAAAGAAACTAAATCAACACAACCAAACAAGAATCAATATGAATATCAATAGAAATATGATTTACCTTGATTTAAATATGTTAAAGATGCTTCACCTAATCGTGTAACAGATGATGTTGGAGCTAATAAAATGTTATCAAATAAATAAGAGTTTGTATCAGCCATTGAAACAAAGATATCAGCACTAAAATAGAATATTTAAGAGAGAGAGAGAAAAACATTATTTCATAAACATACGTCAAAAATTAATTGTACATTTAAATTCGCTGGGGAATATAAACATGATTTCTATAGGTATAACTAATTTAAGATTGAATAAGTTAAAATAACACAACTGTGTGAAGGTTACTTGTTTGTGATTCGAACTGATAATGTTTTGGTCATAAGTCAGTCAAACAGTTACAACACAGAACAAGGTACGTACACACATTACTTCAAGTTGCCATATCATATTAGCATAGAGATGTGATTGTCAATTCAGATATCAGTGGTAGACGTGGTAGAAGTATTAGGGGTAATCGAAAAGATTTCAGATTAGAATTTGAGAGTAAACAAAGAACAGATGCATCTGTGCCACTGCAAACGATTTTCAGCCTTGTCATTTAAGGTCTCTAATCATCGGTGACTTTCGTCTCGCGGACCCCAACCAGGTAGTCTACACTTACGAACATGACTCAATCCACTTGTCAGTGAATTCATGAATTTCTGCCATATTTTGGTTTGGCCGCCCCTAACTTTCTTCCAACCTACTCCTATACCACAAAACATAGCTCTTCGAGGCGGTCGGTGGTCGGGCATACGTAACGCAAGTCCCAACCAACTCAACTGATAAAGTTCTAATACTTCATCTATTGACTTGCCATCCCTACCTTTAAAAAAAAACATAGCTTTACAAATAGAATGTTTGAAGAATGTTAAATTCCTAATTGAACCAATAATGAGTAATTCACCTTATTTTTTGTACACTATTCACTTTTATCTGTGATAACAAGTGCATACCATGCAAAAAAAAAGAATTCAAACACCAGGATTGAATACTGAAACGCTTCCTTTGTAATTTTAGAGTACTAATACGCTGACCAAAAAAATTTCGTCGTCACTATCAGAAGCTGAGTAAATACCAGACTCATTTTTACCCATTTATCTGACTTATGTATGATTATCAATGGTGTGTACAAACTTATGAACATTTACTCTTCAGAATAATACCGAATATTTTCTTAGAAACAAAGAATGCCAAACAACATGATTAGAACTAGAACAAACAATTAAAAACTTACAGAGTTTGATCTGAATTACTCGACAACATAGAGAATTTTGATCCTGTTTCATGTTGTGAATCATCTGAGAGTTTATTTTCGTCATCACACAATGGTAGAGCTGATAGAGCATCACTACGTAAAAATAATTCAAAACATTGAAAATAAAGAGAATATTATAACATCTTGTCAAACTTACACCGAATTGATTGAAAGATTAATTTTCAA